TGTCCGTCTGTCCGCACGATAACTCGAGAAAGAATTGAGATAGCGACCAGCAGGTCTATTACATTCACCACCAGGGATGGCGCTCTCCCCGCGCTCGCGCGTCTAGACGGTGCTCCGTTCCCCCTCTTCTCGGGCGAGGGGGGTGAACGGAGCAGCGTCTAAACGCGCGAGCGCGGGGAGCGCCATCCCTGGTGGTGAATGTAATAGACCTGCTGGGCGACTCGGGCTACCTGACCCCACGGAAGCGAGGTTTACGAAGGGATTGAGTACTTGCCCGGCCCGGGGGAAATGAATTTCTAAGAAATGGGCCTTGCAGCTCGCTACATTGTCACATTTGCTGACTCTTGGGTGCTACCCGAGTTCAATTATACCTTGCCTCTTTTTTGGTTATCCCACTAAAAGGTTGGCGATTTTTGGCGATTTGAATCTGTGGCGGGTGATTTTTGGCGACTTGGGCGGCTGGCGATGATTGGCGACTCGAGCGCCCTCTTCTGGCGACTTGACTCACTCCGGACCTGGCAGCCCTGCCTCCACACCCAAGGCGGGCGGCAGGGAAGAGGAGAGGGGGGGGGGGCGCAGAGCTCGTAGCGCAGCAGCGGCAGCGGCAGTGACGATTTTTCCAAACCAGGCGGTTGGTGGGGAATTTTGCATCTTTCACCAAGAAAAACGCTGCCCACTCTCAAGCCCAGCCGAGACCCACAGAAAATTCCGCGGCGGCGGAAAGCCCCCACCCAACCTGGTCGGCCGGGACGAGCTCAGAGCCCGTGACCTGTGGTGTGGTTGGTGCTGGTGACGGGCTGCGCGACGTCGACTGTTCAGTGGCTCCGTGGCTCTCGCCGACGTCGGGTCAGTTCCAGGTCAGGTCACACTCGAGCCGCTCGAGACATCAACCAATCCAACATTCATCGCCAAGGTAGGAGAGTCGACAGTGCAATACAGCTGCAGTGTTTCGTGTGGTTTTGGAGTTTCGCACTGACGTGTTTCTATACGACGCAGTTTACATCTCTCGTGGACGCCGACCTCGATGGCATCGACAGTGCTGACCCTGGAGCAGCTCCCGGAGGACGTGCTCCTGATGGTGATGGGGTTCGTGTCCGTGGAGGACGTCCTCGCCTGCCGCCTCGTGTGCAAGGCGCTCTGCGGCCTGGCCCTGCACCCGGACGTCTGGCGCCACCGGTCGCTCAAGGACGACGAGCCCCACGCCCTCGCGGTGCTGCACCTGGCCCCGTGCCTCGACGAGCTGGCAGTCTCAGGCCTGGTCCCGACCCTGGCGGTGACCACGACCAGGTGCGCCGCGGCATCGTTGTATCTGCTTTCGGAGCCTGGGGTGGCCTTTAGCATCGCAGAGTACGCCTTGGCCGTACGCAACCAAGAGTCCCTCGGGCGCCTCAGGAGACTTGAGCTTCGTTGCTCCATCGACAAAAACACGACTCCAAACGACGTGTTGATGAGGACAGTTGCGTCATGTTCCGGCCTGGAGTGGATCGAAATCGGTGGCGATATACCTGATAGTATCTGCCACCCCGTTGTCCACGGCCCACCCAGGCCCTCGCTCAAGTATTTTCACTGCCCAGTGACCTCGGCGAACGCAGCAACGTTCGTGAACACTATATTGGCCGGGCACGCGGCTACCCTGGAGACGGTGAACATCGAGTCGAGTTCCCACCTCGATCTGACGGCGACGGCTGACTTGTTGGCCGCCATGCCGAGACTCCGAAGTTTGCGGTGCGACGCATGGAGTGTGGGTCTAGAGGCTGTGGCGGCTTGCAAGACGCTCATAGACGTAAGCATTTCTATGAGCAAAGACCTAGATGAGCTCGGTAGGGTTGCAAGGTTCGTGCGCCGAGCCAAGCAACTGCGATGGTTCTACGTAGAGTACTTCGACTTCGAGGGAGGCTTGCCCGCCGAGTACTGCACCATGTTGGTCGATGCGCTGGCCCCCGGGCGGTCCCAACTGGAACAGCTGTCCCTTGACGGGTTCAAAGACGTGCGGCCTCTTCTCCGCGCACTGCCCATGCTGCCCGCCCTGCGACACCTGGACCTGTGCGCTGATCCCGACGACGAGTTGCTCAGGAGCATCACCCCCGTCACGGCCCCGGCGCTGAGGCTGCTGGAGATAGGTATTCCGCTGGGGCAATGTCCCCACGCCTGGATGCACGGGGACGCGGTTAAGGCGACTCTCGCGGAGAATCCCTCGCTTCACATCCAGCTCTGGTGCCGCCCACTTAGTTTCAAGTGCGATCCCCAGGACTGCAGGACATGCGTGATAGGTTGCCACCGAGAAGTGAAGTGGGGCGAGGTGGGGAAGATAGGGCTCTACTCGCATGACCCTGACATGTGTCCCTCTCCGAGGGATCACACTGCTGACGATACTTCCGACTGGCAAAGGGCCTTCGACCGCTCTACTGATGTCGAGTGTCTGTGGATCCATATGTGATGTATTTGCGCTTGAATGTGGGTGCTCCGAACTTTAAGTTTTGTTCTTTCAGACATATGTTAACAAGCGAAATGTATTTATTTTTTGCATTGTGTAGAAAGTTTTTCAAAGATTAATAAATGAGACATTTTTTAAAAAGCGTCTCAGGAAAAAACTAAGAGATTTATAAACAAAAATTCACGCCAAATTTCCCAAAAATAGATTTCCTAAAATCAAATTTCGTAGCTGCAGCGCTACAACCGGAATAGAGGGAAGCCAAAATATGCGTCGAGGCAGTTCTCAAACCACGGCTCGGCTGCGCTCGGCCCGGCGGCCCCGTGTACGGCGACTACCTTATGTACTCACACCGGGGCTGCGATAAGGAGCAGGCGAGCAGCCCACAAGTGGCACGGGCGGCAAATATGTGTGTGTGTGTGTGTGAGAGAGAGAGAGAGAGAGAGAGAGAGAGAGAGAGAGAGAGAGAGAGAGAGAGAGAGAGAGAGGGGGAGAGAGAACGTGGGGGAATGGAGGGGAGGGAGGGATTCTCACCAGCCAGCCTCCCCTCCCCATTCAAGCTGCTGGGCGCTGCCGCGTGCCCTCGCCCTAGGTCAGGCGGCACGCCCCCGGCCCAGGACGGCGCCAAAGCAGACTGCCTGCTGCCTGCTTGGCAGCTCGCCCGCCAATTTCATGTTATTGTTTTCCATCGTCCGCCGCGAGAGGGGGCAGAGATCGCCGATTGCACGATACTTTTGCCTCGCGAGGACGTAGGAGTTCCCATCCTTCTTGAGCTTCTCTTCGCCACACCCAGAGAGATTAAAACTCTCACAAACTCTGGAGAATGAGGTGTGACACCGAACCAGTTAGCAAACCATAGCAGCCTTGCCACGATTGTGCGCCTGTCGGAGGGAGGACACCGTCGTTGGACTTGCAAGGCGGGACTCGACGACGGGGTGCAGTGGCAGTGGCCGCACATGGCGGGCTGGTCGACTGCATCTGGCAAATCTGAGATCTAGCAGGCCCCCGCCCCACCCCGCCCCGCCACGCCCTGTCGCCAGCAGCCAGCAGTGCCCGTCGTGGCGGGGCGCCACACCACGGTGCCACTCTCCCATGGGTCTAATTTTAACCG